ATCCTAATACTACCTCTAGCGCGTTTCCGTTGAGACACGAGTATAAATAATTCAACTTTTTGTATCTCGGGAATTGGTTGGGAATGAACTGCTGCATTGAAACTGCTCCAAAACTGTCTCCATTGTCTGGGGTCACCATTGAATGTAGGTAGGGATAATTGAGGAAGATGGACATTGGGATCGAAGGGAGATTTGAGACTTCAACATTCTTTTCTTTTTTCCTTTGAAAGTTGTATTAACTTTTGTTCAACATCCTCTTTATGCATGATTAGTGTTATTATCGCTTCATTACCTTGCTGCAATATTTGGTATATTCCTGTTTCACCCATTGTGATTACTTCGAACGCTTTTTCTTCTTCCTCCTTCTTTTTCGTTGAGGTGATTGTTCGTGTATACTTGAGCCAGTCATCGTTTATGGACTGGAGCGTCTTGATACACAATTGAATTCTTCGGAGTTTGTCTTCGAGTGTTCTATTTCTTATTGTATAGAGGATTTCCTGTTGCTCTATCGTTGCATCTGGTTCCGGAGACTTAAGTTCTATTGAATTTATTTCCAGAAGAAGATTGACTAACCTTTCTTTTGTCGGCTGGATGCTCGCAATAATGTTGCTGGACATGGCTCCCGGCTCGTGGCATCATAAATTATGTGTCGTGGATTTTTATTGAAGTATTTTGCGGTCAGTCAATAGTTGGAACAAGCAGGGGATTTTCTACACTTTGGTTGTAGAGGAGAAGAATTGAGATTACTTGGAGTATTAGCTATACCAAGTTTGATGTGGATAATGTGCGTGTGTCGTATGTTGTGGACAAAGGCAAGAGTAGATTCTTTACTTGTCAAGGGTAAGGTCACAAAAACGACACAATACTGCTGATAATGATGAAAAAAATGAGAATAATCCGAACTGATCGAGAATAATGAAAAACTGATCATCAATCCTTGGTAACACGGAATACAACTTATATACGGAAAAAGTGGGGATGGTTTTGCTCCAACTATTTCAACAGAGGTGATTTAGAACAAAGATCTCGAGACTTGATTGATAATTGCTTGGACGGATTAAAATTTTAGAAAGTAATTTAGGAAGAGTATTATAATTGTTTCCTAACAACTTGGCTAAAGATTAAGTTTGAAGCTTAAATTAAGACATAAAAAAGTTACAATCGGATAACAGTTGTTTGTAACTTGTGTAATTTCAAGTTACGAAATGCTGTCGTTTAAACTTAAATAATTTTTTATACTTTGGTCTTTCGCGAAATTGAAATTCTCGAAATTGAAATTCGAGGAATTTCGCGAAGTGATAGGAAGACTGGTTGGTTGACTGCCGAAAACGTAAAACGGAGCTCTCATCCTATCGATCGTTTTAGTTACCTTTATAATGGAGAGTTCTTCACAGTATTTAAAATTTTTCAAATTAGCTTGATTGTCAGGAGGATCTTTCTAGCATTGTAAACATTACATATAAGCTTAATCGTAAGATTGCATATATTGCAATAAGTTTGATCATAAGAATGAAACATGGAAATTGGACAAATGATTTATTAAGAATCGAAAATTATATTATTTTTTGTGGGATGAATCGTTTGTCTGAGTATCTAACTTGGGACGATTTTTATACAATAGATTTATATTGTCGTGAGTTTATATCTATTTATTTCTAATTACGACAATATTCCATAAAACCCGAAATGTTATCATAATTAGAAATTGTAAATCTACGTTACAAAAGTATGGTAGCTGGTACTTTCGTAACGTAGATATGCAGTTGTTGTTAGAAGATTTCATTGCTTCGGTTACTTCAAGTAAAACTTTATTGTAATATATAGAACCCCTTGCTTCATTTATTATCTAAAATTTGTTTTCGAATATTTTTTGCTTCTAAACAAGAAATGCTTTTCTGCGTACTACTTTTTCCCTGGTTTTTTTTCTTAACGCCTTTAATGAAACTTTGATTTTGATTTTGATTTGGAACTTTGAAAAAAGTCCTTTGATTTTGATTTGAGAAGATAACTTGATCCCGCACAGAAGACAAGTCAAAAAATTCGACAATTATACTCAGTAATAATATCACCACGAAGACCAATAGACAAACTATGACGAAATGGATAAAAATCCTAATACTAATCATTGAAGAACAAAACAGTTGCGAGACAAGCTACAAATTTTCCGTTTCTGTCGCGAGTTTTCAGTGCGGAATTCATTTGAATGAGATAAACCTGCTGCTTATGCTATGTCTTTCATGTTTTTTTAATGACTTTTTTTAAATGACTTTCCGCATGCAAATAGCAAGTTTTAAGACTTCTGTCTTGGATTGCTGAAAGATTATAATGATTTCATCCCTAATATTTAGACTTTGAATCTAAGAAAGCTATGAAGATATTAATTCCGTAAAGGAATAAAACAACTTTTTCAATCGCAAATTAACCAAATTCCACACTATCTTTTTTTTGCATTCTTCAGGTATTTATATTTGCTAGTCTTTTGTACATACCTTGTGCTACATCATTTATAAAATTTTGGTTTATAATTTCCAACAATTTTTTGTTGGCTACTGCTAAAAAAATGAAATGAATATAAAACACAAATAGCTAGTACAATATTCAAATTTTTTTAGGACGGATGCTTAAATTCTGAATGATTAAAGGAAAAATTGATATTAAAAAATTCGGAGCAGGATACTGGGAAGGTATCTAAACCATTCCAAATCTTGAAGCAACTTGGAAGAGAAATTCAGTATCATTTTCATTCATTTGATGATGCGGAGCTGGTGAATGGAAAATGAAGCCCAAAAAAAACTGGCATATTGTTGTTTGAATTGCTAACCCTTCGGAATGGCGGTATTGTTTAGTTTATAAAAAATTACTTTGAGGAAGAACTTTTTTTCTGATTTTCTGCATAGATTTGTCAAAATAGAGCAAAACAACGTACACTCTAAAAGTGATCTTCCTATATCCTTTTTTCGTTTTTGATATTTTATTATTTTCAATATATTTTAATATTTTATCTTAATATTTTTAATATATCTTAACATTTCAGTATATTTTATATCTCCCTATAATTTGTCCAAAAATTTTCATTAACAGAATTTTTATAAAAAAACTTGCAACCGGTAGAGTTTATGTGAAAATACGAATAAAATTTCAATTTTCGAAAAATTTTATGATGGAAAAAACATTTGTTTATGGGGATTTGAAAAAGACCGATTTAAGCAATTAAAAAACAGAGACAAATTCCGACAAATTAAACAGGAAAAATATGCCCAAAACAAAGGTTGCTGTTTTACCATCTTTTTGAAGGGCAGATGTTATAAATAAAAAAAAAAATACACCATGCACTATGGGATAAGTCTCGCAGTCTCATTTTTTATTCTATGAAGTCCAGTTGTAACACTAAGCCATTACGAAATTCATTTGTGAGCCATAACGAGAAATCCATGCAGTACTCGGTGGAATCATTCAGTAACAATGAACCGAAAATCTGATTTATAGCATGCGTGCTTCACGAAATACAAATCTTTCCCGAAGCATTGAGCTAATTCGTAATGGTACGAAAAGTTTTATATGCTGAACACATAACGTAGTACGTTTGTTAACATTTCGCGTGACTAGGGTATACCATATGTGTTGTTGGGAATTTCTTCCGCGGACGAAGTCTTTTTTTGGTTGTTTACGTGAGGGCACAAACTCTTTGTAGCTTGCTCACTTTCGATAGAAGGATTTGGTTGGAATGCTTGGTTCGCCTTAGTCTTTCTAAGACTGTCAATACATTGCTTTATAATAGTCATTGTTCTTGTATTAAACGCGCTTATCATATCCTCATATTATCAGTAATTGCGCATAAGTCAAATTTGAAAAGCGATGAGAGCACTGCTAAGAGTTTCGGTTCACAATTGAATAAAAAAAAGGGCGGAGGGTAAAAACTGAGCCAAATTTAACAGAGTGCGAATAAACCAGTAGAAAAACGAGAAGAGTCGTTAAGAGCAGTAGATGAGAAATCAGAAACTGTGTCCACTCCACACTACTTGATCCTTTTTTAGTGTGGACCAATAGGTTTGGCTTACAAAATTCCACAGTGTGATCTTTGAACATTAAACAGAGGCTGATTGGTTTAGTTTTCTGACAATTGCATATGGGGTTATTAAAGATCAAAGGTGACAATATTTCGACATGAATTGGCATAGTTATAAGCGAGATGTTCTTCGCAATGTGTTGACGGTGGGGAATGTTGGACAAATAATTTAACTTGAAATAGTTTATGCACTGAAAATTTACATTATAACTTTCGGAGTTTTTCCGATATTCCCGTGAAGAAGAATGTTGCCCTCATAAGTTATAATGGTGGCTGTCTGGATTCGTCGTTGAGTAGCATTCCTAGTTCTTGAGGCTGTAATTCCTTGTTGATCTGGTTTTTTCTACAGCTTCGAAAAAGCTGTCGGTTGAATTTTCGAACTTTTTTGGGCAGTTATTTCAAAGGAGTATAGTGCATTTACTGGTCTATAGAGAAGTTTTCCAACGGGAAACTGTGCATTTACTGGTCTATAGAGAAGTTTCCCGTTGGACATCTCTGCCAGTGCGCTTCTTGTCACCCCGTTTTTACCTTTTTTTAAAAGTTCTTTTATCCTTGCCAACTTCCATAGGCCTCGAGGCGTTTCTGGTTCACCTACTAATACAATTTCCTCCTCTTTTGGCTTACAATCCTCTTTGCTTTTAGGATTTGCGTGTTCCTTTTGAGTTCCTACCCTGAGACTCGTTAAGTAGTCGCGAATTTCGAATATCGCAAAGCTCCAGATAAAATAAAATAATAAAATGAAATAAACTAATGTACAAATCAATCGCATAAATTGTAAGTAAAGGTTAACAATGTTATGAATTATTTAGCCAATTTCACATTTCATTTTCTCATGCGTTTTTCTTTGTTATCTTGATCTAACTAAATTCACATCCTTTTTATGGCAACAAACCCAGTTCGTATGCTAAATTTCTTATCTGAGAACCAATCTTCTTACAATCCTTATAGTACAATCGGATTTTGATAGTTTATCCAAAAGAACATATAGCTTTTCTTGTTGCTTACGTATCAAAAGTTCAGTAACCGCATTACGCTTCGGTAAGTGTCGAGAAGGCTAATCTGCTGAATTCGTTTCTCAACGATGTAGATTTATTCGAGATGTAATATTGTTCTTGTACAATATTACTAGTTTACAAGGAAGGTGTGAAATATATATGTATATATTACACGATGAATTGGTAAGTAGTGATGAGTTATACAAAAACCAATATGATCAACTAACGAATTCCTCGTCGTTGATAGTAATTTGACTGTCCGTTAGTTAATGAGTCGTTGGGTTGGGGATATGCCACGGCAAATGTAAGAACACCGTAGTTTGTTGTCCAGTGGTGGCTGATATGCAAAGATGTTGTTGTTTGTGGTTCAGTCGTGGAGGATACGCGAAGAGGATTTATTGTCTGCTTGGTTGTAAAAACTAAACTTTCGGATTTTTTCCTTTATATATATATATATATATATATATTAGTAAGGAGTTTTGTAAGCTAGGAAATAGGAACAAGGCCAAAACGAAAAAAAAAACAAAAACAAAAGAAAAGCAACAGATGAATATAACGAGCTCTTAACAAAATACAGAAAAAACGAAATAACACTGGAAGAATTTGGACAACTCAAACCAGATTATGTAATGAAGTATAAAAAAAGAATAATCGAATACGCCCATACATACCTGATCGTATAGAAATCACGGAACTCTACCTTATAATAGAAGAACCGGGCATCGGAAACACTAAAACCATAGACCGGAAAACAAATCATTAACAGGGCTACTTTACAATTCGTTGCCTCGCAATATGACCCATGGGGTTTCTGATACCATCGATGATTTCATTCAAACTATTTTTCCAATACTTCCAATGCTCGTTTGTGGTAATACTATACAAACGAGCTTGACTGTTGACTGTGTTATCACTCCATAAACGAACAATGGCAACGAACAGCCCAATGCTGACCAACGCCGACAAGAACACGAACACTATACCTGTACCACCAAGCAATTAATCAAGATCAACGAACTGGACCGCCACAATTTTCGACGTAGACAATTTCAACATCGAACTCATCCAACGATACGGTAACGGTTTCAAGTACGCAATAATAGGAAAAGAAACATGCCCCACCACCAACAGAGCCCACTTACAATGCTTTTTCCAATTTAACACAACAATACGATTTATAACATTAAAAAATAATTTACCACGAGGAAGCCATATTGAAAAAGCAAGAGGTTCTTCCTATCAAAATTACGTATACTGCGTAAAAGACAATAACTACCAAGAAATAGGAACATGACCGGAAACAGAACAGAGCTTGGGATCAACTCTCAACCCAAGAAGATGAACAGCGATGGTGCAAGATGATAAGAAAGTGGCCGTCCAATATAATCGACTTGCCGAGATTCGTAATAAATCCTGCAAATCAATTGGAAATACACGTATTTACTGATGCATCTAATTTTGCATATGCTGTCGTGACAAAGTAAAGGAAAGGGAGTTAAGAAAGTGAGGTAGATTGCTATTGTTCGTTCTGGAAGCTGTTATATTTTTAAAGGAATGACTTACAGTGTATCGGTTCGTTTTGTGTTCGAAACTTACAACAGATAATCCTTTGTTATCGTCCTGATACCAAATACAGTAAAGATAGGTTCAAATAATTCCAATTACAATAGAATGACTTCCAGGGTAAAGCTAGTAGAATAATGAGATTTTGTAAGGATTAATAGATTCGGAGAGATAAATGAAGAACGTTTGTGTGAACCTGAGTGTCGACAGATGGGATTTTTGCAACAATGAATGAATCTTAGATTTTCTTATGTTTATATAACGAGTGTGTAGGGAGAAAGGAAAGAAATACGATGCTTAACAGATATTTAGAGATAAACATGTTGGATATAAACATGTTTATAAGGTTAGATATCTCTACAGTATGCCCATCCATGTTTATAAGATTCGTTGTCATCCACATGTGCGCAAATCTCAACATCAGACAAAGCTCCTTTAGACGATTTAAAGATTAGATAGCTGACTCATGACCTTAGGCATGAGAGAAAAAAACAATATAAATGGAAACTATTTGAATGAATAATTTCATGATACAATCAATTATTTCGGTTTTTACGACACTCCCGACTGAGAGAAAATTTTAGACTTGGGGGATATAATTAAAAATATCTATTTGATTGTTTAATAAATGTAGGTTGGTTTTGTTGGGTTTTTCGTGAGACAGCTAATTCAATTTCAGTCGGGTTTGTCGTTTGATGTAAACATTTAATACAAGGTAGATAAAATATGGAACCGAATAATTTTAATTTCACTTTAATGGTAATTATTATCAAACTAATTATGAAAACACAAACGCCAAAAATAATAAGTCGCCAATGCATTCTAAACTTGTCTAGTTCTTGTATTAGTTCGGTCATTTTGTTGACCCCATCTCCGATTTGTTTTGATAGTTCGGTGCTTTCTTGGTTGATCTCTCTCCAGATATTCCATTCTGGCCGTTTGACTTGATGATCCGTTATTGTGATAAGATTTTTAGTTTAGCATTTATTCTTTTAATCTCAAAGAGATCGATGATGCCACTGGTAAATTTTATTGGCTTCAACTCGGGGTTATTTGATTTACAAGGTGCGATTTGGAGACTTCCATTGTTATGTTTTGCGATTACGTCGTTCCTTTGTAGTATTAAGTTAGCTGCTACAGTAGGATTATCATGCGATATCCATTCAATAAGTGTTAGTTATTACGATTACGGCAGCTATTTTGATAGATTTCATTAAACTTCTGCTGAAATTGTTCTTGAAGAATATTATAGGGATATTGAAGTTTGGTATTTTCCGGATCGGTTCCCTTTTCCTTAGTGTTTTCCATCATGAGAAATCCTTTATAAATTGAAGTCATCTGATTTATATCTTGGTAAAGGTCTAGTATATATTTATTTTGTCGATTACGATATTGTTGTCCATTTATTGGGATTGATGAAATCGCAGTTTCTTGAATCAATTGTTTCATTAGACTTGAATGTAAATGCCATTTGAAGTTCATCAACAATGATGAACTTCAATCAACAATGATGTGAGTGTCAAAGACTCATGCTTGGTAATTTCCAACCTTTCGATATAAGCACTTACTCACGGCTTCTGTTTCATTAAATAGAACTATGCTTGTATTAGTTATGCATTTTCCACTTTGTGTGAGGCAATGTTGGATGCTGTCGAGATCCGATACTGTTTCCTTTCCATCATAGATGAATATTTCTCCTTCTTGCAGTAGGAAATTTGTTATTGATTGACATCGAATTCCAAACCATCCATAAGAATATTGCACATTGTTTACGGTTCTCCATTGGTTTGGAGATATCTGTTGAAAATCCCTTCCGCTTAATCTTTTCTTATCCAGCAATTTACAAAAGTGTGAGGTAACTGCCGAAATAGTGGTTTGATCTGACTCCACTGATT